GAAGGGGACTGGCATTCCAATCCTTTGGACAGTCCTGTGAGGTTGCTGTTATATTAACTGATTTCACAGATGAGAAAACAGGGGGTGGTGCAGGGGAGGGAGGGTGCCCTGAGCGAGACTTCACACACAGAGCAGCACTGAAGCAGGGTCCTGACCCCTGGTGGCCGAACATATTATAACAGTCACGATGTGAAAAGGTGAGCTTCAGATTCCAACATTTATTTAGGGATATTATTAATTAGGACACAGTTAACTGCCAGTAGCAGTTAGAAGAAGCTTAGATTGGCAGAAGCAGGGAATTGGCTCATAGGATAGAAGAGACCAAGAGGCACTTCAAGCATGACTGGATCCAAATGCACAAATGTCATCAGGAATTTGTTTTTCTCCAGCTTTCAACTCAATTTCACACTATGTTGACTCCCACTTCCAGCTAGAGTCTCCCTTTGGTGCCACTGGCAGCTCCCAGCTTACATCTTACCATCTCAGCAGCTCCAATGGAAAAGAGTTCCCTTTCCTACTGATCCAACAAGAAGTTTCACACTTGTGTTTCAATGGCTGGATTGGTCCATGCGTCTCTCCCTGAGCCAGCTGTCACGTGCCAGACCTGCAGTAGGCCAAGGATTAGAGGTCAACCCCCACCCGTATGAACACAGTGTGGAGATGGTTAGCCCCCAAAGGAGATTCAGGGTGCTATTACCAAGAGAACAGGGCTGGATGGGAGGATGGCAAATATGAACGCGACAAGTATGGTATTTGTACTGTCCTAGAATCCAGTTTCAGTGTCTGAGCTGAGGGAATACATGGGTCTTGGGGCCCTGAGAGCGTATGTAAATATTAAACCCACTAGTATCACTAGATGTGAATAATGCAATAAAGTCTACACTGCTTGGAGATCCAGCTGAATGTCCCATTTCAACTTACATTTGCATGAATAGCAATTGCTGAGTAAATGAGGCATCGGGCCACTAGGGTTTTTATTAAGTTAAATGTGCCTGTTAAATTGTTTTATAGAAGGTAGAAATTTCATATGTCAAGGGGGAAGGCAAATGAGGGGAAAAAGTCAGTCTAATGTAAAAGAAGAAAGGGTGGGACAGCTATAAAACACAAAATCACATTGAAAGAATTAGTCATAAGATGGACAGATTTGATTTTTAAAACCCAAACAAACAGTGTCTAACAAATGATAGGTTTAAGGAAATAAAAATGTTGAAAGTATAAGGAACAAAAAATAAGACATACTAGGCAAAGGCTAACTGAAACATTTGAGTAGTTCTATTAACAGCAGATAAAATGAAATTTAAGCAGTAAGTTTTACTAAAGGTAAAGAGAGCTACGTTTTGAAGAAAAAGTTTTGATTCACAGGAAAGATAATAATTTTAAATGTGTACATACCAGTAACCTAACTTCTAAAACGTAAAGTAAAATTGACAGAACTACCAAGAGAATTAATAATTAATACCCTAAATAAGACCCACAGCCTGGCGATCGTGCCCACAGCCCTGCCCGCTTCCTCCTGCCACCCTGGGCCCGGGGAGGTGGGGGGGTTGTCACTGCTATCCAGACACTGCACTGGGGATAAATTGAGATAACACTGCACAGGAACAGGTTTTTACCATAATCTGCCTGAAGTTGGGATAAAACTGAACAAACCAGGAGAGTTGGGTAATTTGGAAAGTGTGAAAGCAGAAGTGTGACTTCTGCTCTCTATCAGAAGTAACTGAAATTAATGAATTCTTGCAGAAAATCGAGGACATGTCAAGAAATCTTCTGAGGATTGATTGATCAAGATGACACTGAGTCATCCTTTCAGAACTAGGTGAACTAATGAGTGAAGACGCTTGAGAAATACATAAACTCTACTGAGAAGTGAAAATGGAACTCTTTAAATAAACTAGTATGAAACAACTTAATCAAGCATAGTTGTCTTAAGCTAGCAGATAGAAGGGTTTAAATAGCAATGCTTAGCAATATTTCCAGTGGAAAAGAAACTGTTGCCAATAATGCTACTGAAAGAAACACTCCCTAACTTGTCATGATTACAGGTGGACATAATAGCATCTTTTACACAATACCCTACTAGTTTTAGGCTAGGCTACAGTTAAAATGAGAATTCCTTCAATCATCTGGTAAGAACTCGTTACAAAATTATGTAATTCAAGGATACCATTGTGATCTTAAGTCTTATATAATATTGTAACTTGCTTGCATTCATTCCTGGGTCAAAAAGCTTAATGGCCTTTCCACTGGAAATGAATGACAGTGGAAACAAGTTTTTGTTAGTTATATAGTATCAGACAAACAATCGTGCTCTATACTGCCTTAGTTGGCACTATTTTTAAACACTCAAATAATTGTCTTGCAGGAAAGTAAGCAGTTTAATAATAAAACATTCAACTTCATTTAAAAGATCCTACAATAGATGTTGTAGATACTAAGAAAACTAATAAGAACGTTATGAACAATTTTATGCTTAAAACAAGGAAAACCTCAGATGCAGTGAACAAATTCCTAGTAAGACAGAACCAAAACTGACTTGGGGAGAAACAGAAAACCTGAATGCTCGTATAATCACGAAAAATAAATACAGCCATTGAAATACTAGTAGGACTTGGGTTTTGCAATGAAATGCTAGCATTCAAGGGAAAGATCTTTCCAGTCCAGTGCAAACTCTCAGAGAAGACAGCTAGCAAGTGAACTCACAGCAGAGATGGCTCAAAAATAAATATGAGAAGGGAAATGTTAATAAAAGGAAACAACTCGGATGTCCATCCCCAGGTGAATACATAAGCGAATTAGTATATTCACATAATGAAACACTTTGCAGTGGTGAAAATGAACTACAGGCACATGTATCAACACAGCTTGATCTCAAACTGTTAGACGCCAAAAGAAAAAGCTCAGAAGAAATAAAACCTGGTTCCATTTATATAAAAGGATAATGCTGGCAGAACACCAGGATACGACATATTATTTAGGGAAACATACGCACTTGCCAAAACAAGTCAGCTATTAGTAAGAACCTGCTTCTTTACACTGCTATCCGTTTTTAAATTATTTAGTATTTAAATCATGTGTATGTTGTTTTTATAAAGTCTCTTTGGATGTCTGATGAATCTCAATGAAAAATGTCTAATCACAGAATTGACATGTAACAAAGAATATGACTGAGTAGGGAAAGTTACTGAGATGATTTTGTTTTGTGGATCTGTGTTGAATGTTTTGCTACAAACGTCATATTTCTGTAATATTTTAAGTGATTTTTAAACCCTTTAGACTAGAGATAAAACTTCTCTCCAGTCATTTCACTGAAAATCACTTTTCAGAGCCAATCTCTGTCTGGAATGTTAATCCAAGGGTAGATACCTACCTGCCTGTTTGTTCAAATATGTACAGTGCTGGCAAGGAGAAGGCCCAAAGCCTCTTAACGTTACAAGGGGGTGACCTTCAAGTTTAGGTGGGGTGAGTGTTCTTGGGAAGAAAGTCAATAGCACAGGGAGACCTCAGGCCACGCAAGGCGTCAGCATTGGCTAAGCTGGGGCATACCAAGATGGAGACAAGCTTGGGCATTGACTGTGGCTGAGTCTTACTCCTCCCTCTCCCTATATGGAAGGTGGAAGCAGTGAGTTTCATTCCTGTGGTGTCCAAGTGACTTGAATGCATGATACTAGACCTCATGGGACAGAAAGGAGAAATGTGACAGCACCCAGGGCCGAGTGCCGGGAGGCTCCCACGAGGAAATCAAACAAGGACAGCTATCGGTCCAACTGGATTGGTAGCAAGAAACTAGCTTCCATGGCCAGAGATAGACCTGAAACCAGGTCCTGTTTTATGCTCAAGCTGCAGAGACACCAGTGGTCTCGAGAGACACCAGGCAGTGCCCAGCTTCCCCTGGATTTGAACCAAGTGACCAGGCACTCCCCAAAACCCTGTCGCTTGCAAATCCACCTCTGCATCCCACCGAGGGACCTGCATTATATGTGCTTAAATCTCGACATCAACCTGCTGTTTATATCATCCCAAACTGCAATATCTCTTGTGGAAAGGGAAAGTACTCTTGAACATAGATACAATCACATGAATCCATGTCATCCGTATTTGACCAGATACAACTGTTCTTCAAAGTTGGAGCCTGCCCTGCCTTCTCTTTTAAAGATACATCTGCAGATATTAGATGCTTTTTAAAAACACGGGAGTACCAGATTGAGCATGCTTTCACCTAATGAGGTTTGAGATAAAAAAAAAAAAAAGATGAAGGAATTCTTTCTCACTGAACATTACTAAGTGGTATGCCCAGAGCAAGGGGTGCCAACTTCCTTCTGAAAATGCATATCAAATATTTTGTTAAAAACTTTCCTGCCAAGTTTTTCGCTAGCTGAGCTTTAACGACCTAGCCTTGGATTGCATTGACTTGCTAGACATTAAATGAGGACCTACTAAGTGTCAGCCTCCATTGCAGGGCTTGGAGGGGGCAGGGTGAAGCGCCTTGTCTTCAGGAGAGAGGTGTGTTCACAGCTGGTTATAATGCAAGGCCAGGTAAATATTTGTATCTTTGTTTCCCAACCTCCGCCCAGCCAATGCAAGGCATGATTTAGATGCTGGGGAGTTGTTTCATTAAGATTCAGAAATCACACACATGCATTAAGCTCCTACTATGAGCCAGGCAACATATGGGATAATTTTAGACTGTTTTATTACACTCAACCCTTTCAAGAATTAGAAAGGTGGTTATTTTTATGTCTATTTGAGGTTCAGAGAGGTTAAGTCATTTGACCAAAGGCACACAGCAGATTGAAGCCTACTTGGGATTTGGAGGCAGTCTCCCAAATGTTTCCCCTTGCGGGTTGAGGGAAGAAGCCCTGTTACACATGGGAGTCTCCACTGTCCCACCCAACCCCAATCTTTCTCAGTCTGGCTGGCTTAGAAGACCAGAGGTAGGCCCTGGCCCCCGAGGCCTTCCCTAGAGGTCACCTCAGCCCTGACCTGTGCTTGTGTCTCCTCAGGAAGCCAGCATTGTCTTGCACCGTGTGCTCCAGCAACCTTCTGAGCTGCTACAAGAGCCTGTGGGGACTTAGGTTCCTCCACAGAGACATGGGAGCCCCCTCAGAGGAGCAGCCAGGGGAGCCACCGTGGGAGGAAGCGCTGAGGACACCACCCCAGGAAGTGGTGAGGACACTGCCCTCCGAGGCTGTCTAGACCCAGCCCTAGGACACTGAAGACATGCTCCCAGGCATCAAGATTTGACTCCTGGAGCCACTAAGGACGCAGCAGTCCCCAGTTACAGAGGCTGCACCCTAGCCTGAGTCCAGGGGCCTCCAGAGCACAGAGCAGATGTGGGATCCTCTGGTGGAGGGTGGAGCACCTGTTCTAGTTCAGTGCTCCCAGACAGATGCTCAGGGCTCCCCAGAGCCCGGGTCTGCTGAGTCCATGGTTCAAAGTTCGCGTTGGTGCTGGCCCTGAGTCAGGAGCAGAGACAGCAGAACATGCGAGGGTGTATGCACGCATGTGTATATGTGTGTGGGGGTGGGTGGGTATTGGTATCCTCTCGCCTCCTCGTTGGCTCTGCAGGATGAAGGAAGGGAAAAGAAAAGAGGGGAAGAGAATGGAAGGACGTTAGCCTTTGATAAACACCTGCTGTGGACCAGGTATCCCACCTGCATGAGCTTGCCTAATCCTTACCACAACCTTTGCGGTAAGGACCCCAGTCCCAACTTTACAGAAATGGATACTGAGGTTGGAAGAATACCCAAAACCATGCAGTTAGAAAGTGTGTCTGGCACAGAGAAGGCCCCAGAGAAATAGTTGTTGAAAGAATAAACAAGCGAATGAAGGAATGGTCGGATGGGAAGATGAGTGGAAAGCAGCTTCAAGCCCATGCTCTTGACAGGACACTACACTGCCTCCTCTCAGAGAGAGGTCCAGATATTTCCTTGAGCCAGACTACCCTCCTTTTGCCAGGAGTCTGGGGAGGGGAGCCCTTCACGCTGCAGTATCGCCCTCTCTGGTGCTTTTAGTCAACAAGGAGAGGTGTGAAGTAAACTTGCTAGAGAAAGTGCACTGGGTGTCAAGGAGGGAGAGACTGAGGCCTTTGCAAGGGACCCAACAGACCACAACTGAGCAGGGAGTCAACCCCACAGTGCCCTCTCCTGGAAGATGACCTTGGGCACAGGAACCCCTCTGAACAGCTCTTGACTATTCCATCCAAGGGGGTGCGCACCCCTTTTCAATTTTCAGAGTTATTGAAGACACCCAAGATGATGGGATAATAGCTGTCCCCCCTCCCCCAGGGAGATGAGGGTGTCCATGAACTTTCCTCGCTGACCACTGCCCTTTCTTGAACCCACTCCCCCTCTTGGGTCCTAGGACTCCCTCCTGGCTTCCCCTCCCAGCCCTCCCACACCTCTCCAGTCTCTCTATCACCTCAACAGCGACATTTGGGGACATCTCTCCACATAGCCACCAGATATGGCCATTCCCCCAGACTCACCCCGAGCCTTTTCTTCCAGCTATAGTTCCTCTTCTTCTGTGAACTCCCGATCCTAGATGGCTTCCTTCTTTTAATTTGATCATCTCACAGCTCACAGGCCATGCACAGAGCTGTTTTCATGACTCAAAATGCCCTCCCCACCCTTTTAGTCATGAAATCTCAGTTGAAATATCTCCTCCTTGGGAAGTCTTCCTCAACCCTCCCTCATAGGTCAGGACCCTAGTCCACACCTCCAGAATTGTCTTTGGAAGTCAATGCTATGGTCGTAATTAGTAATCATCTGTGTGAGTCCCTGACCTCTGCCTGTCTCCCCAACTCAGAAGAGCATGGGTCCTGCCTGTTTCTGTTGACCATTGTGTGCCCAGCCTTTAGGAGAGTACTTAGCACATAGTAGGCGTCCAAGTAGTTCATGCCAGTACAGCCGAAGGCACGATTGGCCCTGATGGTACCTGACACTCAGATTCTTGACTGACTTCCTCTGAAAGCCCCAAGACTTCCTTGATGGTCTTCTCAGGAGTAGGACGCAGGTGGGTCTCTAGGTCCTGCCCAGTAGCTGGAGGCACAGACTGGTCTGGCTCCAACCTCAGGTGCCCAGTGGGGACTGGCTACTGAAGGAGCCTCCTGCAAGCCTGTCCTGAGTTGCCCCTGCCCTTCTGGAGTCTGCTATTGCCTCTACTGGCTGCAGAAGTGGGGTGTGTGCTGTCTAGAGAAGGAACATCTGTGGTGTGTCCCCAAATCCGTGTTCCGTGTTACCATCGTGTTCCAATAAAGCTATCAAAACAGATGCTGCTTTGCGGTTTTATTTTTTCACTTCCTGGTGAGGAAATACTTCCCAAACTTCATAATGTGGTATCTTGATTTAGAAAAAGAGTTATGATAAAATGCTGGGGTTAAGGCCAACTTGCAAACTGCCTTAAAAAAGCAAAAAAAGTTCTCAGAAAATTAGGGTGGGCTGTTTGGAAGGCTCAGGCTTCATTGTGCCCACTTGGTGAGCCTGGTACCTGGCAGGTGACTGGCACATGTTTGTGGAATGAAATCTTTCTGCAGTTGTCAGATTCAGAGATGCCTTTGTTAAGTGGGAGAAAATGACATCTTTGAAATGGAAAATTTGTCAATCCAGGATACTCAAAATAGAGTAGATGGTGAGATGCAAGAAACAAGGTCAAGAAAAAAATCACTGGTTTTGTGCAAGGAAAGAACCCCAAAGTCACTGATGAGAGGGTTTAGAAAGTAAAGGGAAAATGCTGGCTAGAGTCAAGATCACCACTTGGTAACAGCATGTCAGAGGTGAGCATGTCCCCATCGGAGGGAGAGACTTACGAGGTTCTGGAATCCTGAATTTCTGGCCTCACAGCAGCACAGGTAAAGACACACCTTTTGAACCTCCAGACAAGACATCATGAGTCATCACAATCAAAGCTTACAGGAGCTGATCTGCCCAGAATGCTCTTTTCTGGAGAGGAAAGGCAAAGCATGTGAAGGTAGACTCGGGAAAGATGCAAGCAGAGGTGGTCATTCGGTCAATGATGTTGAGCAGTTCCGTGTAAATGGGGGGATGACAGGAGCGTGTCCTCTGTGAGTACCACAGCTGTGCTGAATACAGGGTTATTTTTAGGCAACCAGTGAAAGCAGGAAGCCTTAGAGTCACGATGTCCAAAATCCTGCTCCAACAGGTTTAAATTCCGGCAAGTGAAAGAGAAGCAAAACCCTGTCTAGGCAATGAGGAAAGGAGACCACGGAGGCTGAAAGAGTAGCTTCCACAGGGGCTGGTGATGGGACCTCAGGGGGGAGCAGCGTTAGGGTTTTGACCTAACTCCATGAGTAATGGGATGGCTTTGATAAGTCTTTATTAAGAGGGGGTCCATGAGACAAGATCTGTGTTGTGCAAAGATAATTCAGACTCCAGTCTGGAAAATGGATAGGAGTTGGGGTGGTGGGGAAGAGGTGACAGGCAGGCTGAACACAAGCATCCCACTGCAGGGGGTCACCTGTGAGGATCAACTGTCTCCTTCTATAGAGTTTACCTAAGACTCTCCTGCAGATCTCAGGGCTATGTACTGGGAACCCAAGGGAATTAAACCCTTCCGCCCGCCACAGAGATGGGCTTGCATCTCAGTATCACCAGGAAGTCAGGGCAGGAATGATGCACGCGCAGATACTGGGTGACCAAAACTGAGAGGAAAGAGCAGTGTGTGGACCGTGGGAGAACGTGGGTCACTCAGCCAGTTATCCTTTGCCACCCCACCCACCTGGTCCTTGGGTCTAGCTCTAGAGGAGAGTTTATGACCATCATGAGTCATTTGAGAAGACTTTCTAGGTCATTCAAGCAGGAAATGTTAGTCAAAGCAACACATCTCCCACCAGAACACCCAAAGCCTACCATAATTTCAAACATTCCAGTAAAAAAACTCAGGAGCCCTGACCACCAAGAGCCTGCAGCATGTCAGCGAGAATCCTGCTTCATCTAACCAGCAGCCCTACGAGGCTCAGCATTTATCACTGACAGGTCGTGGCAGATGGCAACACCGTGTTCCCAACCTCCCAGTTCAGGTCACATAGTACAACATATTTCTCACGTCCCAAGATGTCACCATGGGAGGCGGAGCACTGGTCTGGCTGGACCAAAGCTCTCTGTCCCTGGGGCACTGCCAAGGCCCTCTTGTGCCAGGTAGGACGCCCAAGAAAACAGGGTCCCAGAGGGGGTGCACCATCTGGGCTGTGTGGCTCCCAAATAAACCTCTCAGCACTCAGTTTACCCAGTGCCCCTGTGCACACCAACTGCCAGTCCCACTGTTTCATCAACTCCTTTCTTCCCATGAGCCCTACCAGGCGGAAGTTAGCATCCCAAGCACCAGGACCTAAAGAGGACATGACACACCAGAGCTCTAAACCCAAGCAAGTGACATCTCTGGGACTGCAACCCAGAACTGCTAGTCTCTAAAGTCCAGGTCCTTTGCTAGCATTTCTACTATGAAGTTAATTTTTAAAATTTAAACAATGTAGAATACAACCTGTCTTTTTAAAAAAGATTTATTTATTTATGCATACAGAAACGGGGTACACGCCAGAGGGGTGGTGAGAGGCTTCACCAGAGACAGAGCGGGGAGCAGAACAGGCAGATCAACAAAGTACACTACTGAGGGGAGCAGCAGGCCAGACAGGAGAGGTCTGTTGGCCATGTGGGTCAGCTCCAGGGCCAGGGCTGCCACCAGCTTGCAGTGCTGAGTCCTAACCAGTTGTGCCACCAAGGAGGGCCCAGAATACAAGCTGTTTTAAAAGTTGTAACAATATGTCTTTAAGGTTCAACCACATTAGCAAACAGAAGTACCTTTCATTATCTTTTTAGTTGTATTTTGTAGTATTGGTTTACAACAACTCTATTACTTAGGGGTACAGGTTCACATTTCTTCAAATGTGTGTTACCACACCATACTCACCACCCAAACGCCATAATCCTCCACAAAGCCCACTGTGCTCACTCCCACCGTTGTTTCCAGTCTTAATTCCCCACTACCCCTAGAGTCTTAATTCTACCATTATATTTCTAGAGTCTGTTTTAGTTCTGTTTTGTCTGTTACTATGTTCCTTTATATTCCACATAAAAGTGAAATCTGTCAGAATTTCTCTTTCTTCTTCTGACTTATTTCAATTAGCATACTATGCTCCAGTTATACTTGCGTTGTTGCAAATAGCAGATGTCATCTTTTTTTAATAGCTGAGTAGTATTCCTTTATGTATATAGGCCATAACTTAATCCACTCCTCTATCCTTGGGTACTTAGGTTATTCCCATCATTTGTCGACTATAGGTAGTACCACAGCCCTTCATTATTTTTAAACGTACATTGGAGGGTGTTCCGTAGTATTAAGAGCTCACAGGTCAATCAACCATCCATTCTCCTAGACATGGGCTTTTGCATACCTTCTAATTTTTAGTTGTTTCAACAATAATGTGCTGATCATCTGTCAGTGCCTCCTCATACACGTGTGGGTATCATAGTTATTAGGGTGAGTGAGTGTGTGTGTGTGTGTGTGTGTGTGTGTATAGCACACCCAACTATAATGTGTAACATATGCCTTTGCAAATAGTCCTCCAGGGAGGAATGGTTCATTCAAGCACCTGAAAATGACTCAAGGAAAACTGGCTCCCCACAGCCCCAATATACCAACTGTGTCTTTCCTACCACACAGTGATTTAGAATGAGTTGCTCTTAGAGATGCTCCATCTGCAGTCAGGATGGAACAAGGTGTTTGGGCAGAGGGATTCTCTGAATTTCCCTAGGTTTACCCCCAGGTCTCCCATGAACCCCTCCATCCCTACCTTCCTCCTTTGAGTCTCTGTGGAAGAAGTTGACCCTCCCCAGATCAACCTGGCGAGAGCCTGGGGACAAGCCATAGCCACCCTCAAGGGCCATGGTAGGGCTGTACAACAAGCAGCCACACAACCTCTCTATATGACAGTAAACACTTATTTAGCTCATGAACCTGTAGGTTGGTCAATCTACTGGGGTGTTTTGGTTTTACTCCCCATATGTCTCCTCCTCTTTTGAGGCCAACAGACCTACCCAGTTGGATATACTGGCAAATATTGCAGGAACACAAGAACCAGCCCAGTAGCACAAGTGTGTTTCAAGCTCCTGAGCATCTTGTTTGTGAATACATCTTAGTGAAAGCAAGTCCCATGAGTAGTCATGGATGGAGTGAGTAAACTGACATCTCCATGAATCAGAGGTCCAGCAGTGGGGAAGGGTGCTCACCCAATCTACCACAGAGGCAGAACCTGGGTAGGAATGGAAATCTACATGACTCCAGAGCTCTTCAGACCCAGAGCTCTCACAACAGAGGACACCTGGAAATTCCCAGAATTCTCTAAGCCTCCGCATTCTCTGTATCATAGTTGCTTCACATCTCCTACCTACACCAATGTTTATTCACAATGCTGGCCTACAGCAAAATCTTTAAGACTCAAATCTGGGCCTTGGACCTGCCAGGCCAAATGTCCTTCAGTTCTCCCTCCTCTGTGACTTTTATTGACAGGTATAAGTATGCAATATTTTATTGCATTGCTCTAAGCACTTTGCCAACACAATCTCACGGAATCTTTCCAACATCTCTGTGAGTTGCTATAGTAGCCCTTTAACCACTGTCCCCTTAATTAATCACTCACACAGGATAGGTAGATACATAGCTAGCTAGATAGGTAGATAGATGGCAGGTAAGTAGACAGACAGATACATAGGTAACAGATTGACCAATAATGTAGATAAATAACAGATGATAAAGATAAGATAGATGATAGGCCTTTGAAAATGTATACAGTTTTTAATGAGCACTGTATAGACAAAGTGAAATAATCTTAGAGTCACACTTGACTAGAAGGCTTCCAGTAGACATGGAGTAATAGTGAGAAGAACCACAGGAAGAATGTGAATTATTTTTTTCTTGACTGAATTCTTTATGAAATCCAAAGAGTTCCTCTTATCCTCAAGAAGGGTTTTCAAGCTTCCCCCTTCTTCCATATCATGGCCAGCAGGCTTTACTGTGACTTTCTGGGATGCCTAACTAATGTTCCAGTCCCTCTTAATGTCTTTGACCATCTCAATGTCTTTGACATCCCAGTACAAGTAGATCACGAAATCTGACTGACTTATCCTATTCAGTGAAAAGTTACTTTATTTCCTAGTGTACCACCTTTCATAAAAATGGTTCATTACAGCAACTCAAAGAGTTGTTGGAAAGATTCAGTGAGATCATATTCGCAAAATGCTAAGAACCATGC